ATTAGTCTTTGATAGCTTCTTCGACGTGCCTCTCTACCTCTCCTAATGCCCGTCATTGTCAACCTCTCGCGCCTCCTCACCGAGACATATACATCTCTCCTTTTGATTAGTATGTGAAAAATGAAATATTAGAAAATTCACTAACCTCAACTCAACTGTAGCACCAAGAGCACGGAGACCATGAATATAAAGATCAACGGGTCGGGCCCCAATGTCACATCCACCGGGTAACCCAACCATAGCTTCACCAAATCTAGCCAGTAATGGCCCTAATACGAAAAACCCACCTCTAATTTTTCCAATATCACTCAAATCAGGCTCTAATGACACGATCCCATCTGTATTAACAACAATATCTCCACCAAAACTCGTAACCCGAGCACCCAAAGACTCCAAAATTGAAGCCATTGTTGTAGTATCAGACAAACAGGGTATATTTTTAAGCTTCGAAGATCCAGAACAGCAAAGGGTTGCTGCTAGAATAGGTAAAGCTGAGTTCTTGGACCCATTAATAGTGACATGCCCAGAGAGTGTAGACCCACCATTAATAACGAGTTTTGGATCTGGAATGAGAGTTGTAGGAGGAGAAATGAAGGGTTTTGGGTTTTGGGGAAAGTAAAGTTCGGTTCTTGGAGGTGATGGGAGAAATTGGGGAAGATTGAACTTTGAAGCCATTGATGAACAGAATCAATATTGCACAGTTTGAAGAGAACGGCTAGCAACAAAGTGTGTGACCCACCTGTGGTATCTTTGGTTCGCGGAAAAATGCACCCGTATGTATGTTTGTCGCATAACGAAGGCATAACAATGACCTTTTAACTTGGCGCGAACGGATAATTATGATTTTTAATTTTTGGTGTGCATGAATAAACACATTCATCCTACATGGCATCCTACGTGACAATTTTGTATCCTACATGGCGTCCTATATGTATTATGTCATGTAGGACATGTATGTCTATTTGTTCAATTTTATACAAGTTTAAGTTTCTAGTTGTGCAGACTCAAAGTTGAAGCACATAATTCCGTTAAAGCCAAGTTAAGAGTCATATTTATGTACTAGTATACGTGCCCGCGCATTGCGCGGATAATATTAAAGAAAATTATTACGTTAAATATTTTGTTCAAATTTATATTATACAATTGTCTTTATGGAAAAAATCATTTAAAATAGTGTATATATATATATATATATGAGATTTGAGACATTTCCATTCATGAGTTTTGTTGCATATTTGTGATGCTGATTTAAAAAAAAAGTTTCTCAGCACTTACTGACACATCTTGAATATTATTAAATGTGTAATTTTCATGTTCATACAATAACAATAAGAATTTTTCCTATTAATGACGATAATGTAATGTTGCTGGATAATTATGAACAACAATCAAAGACGACACAAAAATATCATAAAATTTCAAATCGCAAAGTGCATCAAATCAACATGAATTACCTATGGTAATGAATACAAAATACAAAATGCTAAGTAACAATAACATCGATCAACTAAAACTTTATATGTTATCGTGTAATATTTAAGGGTGAAAAAACTGAATAAAAAGATATAACTCAACTTTAATGATTATTGTAGACATACTTTGAAAATAAAGTAAAAATAATCTAAATATAATCACAATATAATTATCGCTGCTCCAATTATAATGGACCAAAACTAATAATTGTTTTTTGATAAATTGATAAGAGTATAACATTAAGTTCTTCAAATTGGTATATTTTAAAATCATTGTTCAGTTGAAACAAATCAATGCACTTAAAATATGTGTCTAAACTATCATTTATATGGTACTAAAATAAATGTCTGAATTCTATATTGAAAATAATGTATGCACCAAATCTGGAATAGAGTATAAACACTGCAAATGACATATACATACTTATACTACCATCGATTTGTGCAAGGTCATGTTTTGCTCAAATTAAAAATAATAATCAAGAAACACATTTTCTTGAAAATAACTTTTTGAAGCTAACTACTTTGTACATGCCTCGATAAGAAGAGCCAATATACAAAAAAGAAAAGAAAAAAGAACAGTAAACCCAACTTCTCTGTGAGACTATGACGTCAAATACATGAAATATAATGAAATCAAAATAACTTAGCTATAGCAAAGAGTTAATGAGAGATGGAGAACCATCAATTTAAATAGAATTTTCTTTGTATTTTCTCCTTAACGTATGCTTACTTGATTGTCCTTGTTAAAATGTTCTCTACTCTTTTTTGGAAGTACACGAGATATCGCTGCATATTTTTTAAGTAATGTAATCAAAATGAAAAAAATATGTTGATTTATAATGGCAATTAGTGAAGTTCTTTTGCTTTAGTCATATGATTGACAATTCTGGCTAAAAGTATGTCTTCAAATTGAAATTCAATATATGCTATAATAACTTGAAAAAGAATAATACAACTTACCTTAAAAAATAAGATGTGTAATGTTTATATGGTACGTCCCATCGTTGTAGAACTCCAACTTTCAATCTCCATTGGATATTTTGCATGAAGGCGTATGAATTGAAAAACTATTGAAGCACACCTATTTGAATTATAAATCTACAATCTCTAACTATATTTAGAGAAACAATCTATTATAATTTAAAAGATTTGAGTATAAAGTTGAATAATCTTTTTGAATAGTTGTCTTCAATTCAAATTCCACCCTGCAGCAAATTCCACCAAAAAAGGAAAAACTACATATAATACAATGCATGTATTGTTAATGGAGTGAACTTTTTGATACGCTGCTTCGACTTTTTGAAATGAATTGTTGTATTCCTCCACCACTTTTAAAAATACAGTGTTGTCCATAAAACTTGTGAGTTATTATCCGATAAAAGTAAAAACCGTAAAAAAAAAAACTGTTTGGAAGTTTCATATCATTATCTGAAACTTTTAAAAACTGTAACAATTTAAATAATAATTTATTAATTAATCCTATTATATATAATTAATTTTAATTAGGTAAAAAAACTCTAATTTGTCTTCTAACGTGATCAGAAGTCTTTTTCTTTTTATTTGATTTCAATATATATATTATAAATATATGTTTTTTCCAAAGAATGTGGGTAGTTCTTTCAAATATGCTATATAATTAAAAAAATAATAATAATAATAATTAATATTAAATTTGAAAACTTCCAAAAAAAGAGGAAGAAGAAGAAAAGTTCTAAACGTTAAAAGACAGTTTTTTTTAGTGATTGAAATTTTAATTTTTAGTTTTTTATATTTTAAATTAATTTTAATAATTCATAATTCTTTTTTTGTGGTGCTGACACGTGACACTTTTTCTTCTCCTTTTATATATAGATAGATTATGCCCATAGCAAATGGATCCGGCTCCTTTCCATTTCACTTGTCTCCATTTTCCCCAAGTTCTAGTCTTGATTAATGACATATGGCATAGATTAGATTTAATGGTTAAGATTTAATTAATTAAAATATATCCTTAACCATGGTTTAGATAATAAATATATTATTATATCAATTAAAAATAGTCCTATTATGCATCCCCTTTTCTCCTTATTCCCTCCAAGTCCGATTAAAAAACATCAAATTCATATTTTTAACTAAAAATTATCTCAGAAGTCATTTAAAAAAATCACTATTTTTCATTTGATGTGAGCCCTTCTTCTTCTTCTTTTTTTTTAAAAAAAAAGATATTTTTCTTGTCCTCTTTTTTGGTCACGTAGGAGTTCTTTAATTTTTTTCTTGTTCTTCTTTACATTTCCATCAAACATTAGAGAAATAGTCATCTAATGCTTAGGCCTTACGAAAACCGTTAGAAAACTAATCAACATATAATGTTAGAATTTAAAAAGAATATTTACAAATTTTAATTTTTTTAAAAAAAGAATGGATGATGTTAGTTTTTTATCTTTCAATAACTCAAAACTGCAAAACAAAAAAATTGAACAAAATAGAAAAAGATGTTTTCGTAACAAAAAAAGAAAAAAATCGTTTTTAAAAAAGAGAGAAATTTTAGATTTATTTATGAATTGAGATCATTTTTAGCTAGAATTATATATGAGATTGACATTAATTAGGAAATATTATAAAGGAATTATTTGTTATTCTAATCATGGTTAGGACCTTGATTTAGGTAATTAAATCTCAACTTTTTATTTTTAATTATGACACATGTCTTCCATCCGAGCAGGAACTTGGGAAAATGGTGAGAATGAGTAATGGAGAGGAGCTTCATCCATAACAAATGTGCATGTTTACTATTTTCATTAATGACTTAGAAAAAATATTTTAAAATTGTTTTTTTATTTTAAAAACGTCAGGTGGTTTTAGAAAATTACTTCGCATTATTCTGTGTTGTTATTGTTTCGTGATTAGTTGCTATGTTTTCTTTACCAACCTTTTTTCTTTTTATATCTACCTTGATTTATTGTACTAGAGACAAGGATTCTCCGGAAATAACATTTCTACCTTTATGAGGTAGGAGTAAAATTTGCATATACTGTACTTTACTATCACTATACTAAATTATGAAATCTCACTCGATATATTGTTGTTGTTAAAATATGTTATAAAATGATCATACACATATGTATGAGTTCACCCAAACCTAATCACTTTTATTCCTACCATATATTCGTATTAAGAAATTCATAAACTCGGATCCATCCATGCACATAAACATATGTACGTAATGCACAAAACTAAGCTATATAACCACCAAATAACTATATATGGACGCCCTTCCAATGCAAATTATATTAGAGTACACAATTTGTTCCAATTTTGCGGTAAATAATTGTATATACTTTACTACTTTTTCCTAAGCCACAAAAAAAAATGTAAACAAAAAGAACGGGTCATTAGCTTCATTAATCTCATAACAAAAATAGAACCATCCAATATACTAACAAGAAAACCAAAAATAACGCTCAACCATATTTCCCTCCAAATCATTTAATTATAAATAAGGTATTTCATTGTATTACAAAATGCAGTCACACATCAGAGAAGGAGAATAATAAATAAACAAACAAAAAAATAAGAAATGGCAAAAGCTATCATTCTCCTCTCCGCTCTTTGCGTCTTGGCTGTCGCCAATTTCGCCGTCGCCGACTTCGAAATCTTCGACGTCGAAGGCAAAGTCTTTTGTGATACATGCCGTCTCGGTTTCGTCACCTCTCTCAGCAATACCCTTGAAGGTAATACTATTAATTTTATTACTCCTTCTGTTTCAATTTATGTGACATTTTTCGTTTTCTGACATTGACGTTTATAGGTGCCACTGTGCGTTTGACATGCAAGGACATGGAGACACACAACGAGACGTTTACAACTGAAGGCAAAACGGATTACATTGGCAAATACACATTGACAGTTGAAGGTGACCATGAAAATGACATTTGTGAGGTTACTTTGGTAAACAGTCCAAAAGATGATTGCAAAGAAATTGTTCCAGATATGGTTAACAACAGAGTTATTTGCAGTAAAAATGTTGGGATGCACAACGCTGTTCGTTTTGTTAACCCATTATTCTTCCAAAAGGACAAACCTATCAATGGTTGCAGAGAACTTGTTGAGGAGATGGAGCTTGTTGATCTCTTGATTCTTGAAAATGACAAAGAAAAGAATTAAGACAGAATATATATAGAGCTTTTGCATCTTTCATCATTTATTTATTTCGCGATATTTTTTAAGAAGAAGAAGAATAAATCTGTTATAATTTCTCCTCGATGTGTAACTCAACATGGAAAACTAAAAAAATTCCGTGATTTTCGAATGAGAAGATCATCAATAATAGCTTCTTAGAAATTTTTGTGTGTGATTATCAAATCGTTTTCTATCTTCTTTTTTTCTTTTTCTCGTTTCTCACTCGATGTTTGATATATACATCAACACTGATTGGTTAAAAAGTCTTCTCTAATGATAGTTTTGCTATTTCTACACTGTATAGCCACCCATCAAAATAATACTTGATAAATACATACTTTTTTTATATATAAAAATTGATATACATATATACAAAATAGTGGATATTATTTTATTTTTTTGTATAATGTTTGACTATAGTGCATGTAATTTTTCTGGGCACTCAATCAAATGTATAATTTTCCAAGATCTTTTCCATATCGAGAATTGAACTCGAACCCCTCCATACCAAGAATTGAACTCGAAACCCCCTCCCCTTTCTTCGACTAGTTTATTTTTTCTGTAAATATTTACTATGACATGATTTATCAGATAATCACTCAATTAATTATTAATTGAGCGATCATGATCATGTGAAATTAAGCCTTTTTGCACAATTGGATTCTTGTGTCAATAAATTCTCTTTCATTGAAGTTGTGCACACAAGTAGCATATTGAGAAACAGATAGAGAGAACTAAAGTACAGATATATGATAAGCATAATAAATATGCACTTCAAATAAAAGTAATTAAATATTAGCAAAAATATATGAATTTAATAAAACAAAATCACTATTTGATTAAAAAAATTAAAACATTTATGTTGATTGTGATGATGGAGTGTTTTTAGTAGTGATGGTACTAATGATTGGTGTTAGTGATTATTAACTAGTAATAATGGTGGTAATAGTTGTAATGTGGAGGTTGGTGATATTGCATTACTGACTGACGTGATATTAGTGGTTGATAGTAATTGTGATGGTGAAACTGGTTGATGTTACTAGTGATGATGTTTACGAAAAATGTGTGAAGACAATGAATAGGTCAAAGAACTATTATTTGAGGTATTTCATATTTATGGTTGAACTCAATATATTTTATGTTTCGCGTATCTTTCTAGCTTGAAACTCACTAGCACATTCTTTAATATTTATTTTGTTTTGAGACAAACAATCCAATATATATTAAAAAAATGTTATTGATGATGGAGATAGTTTCTTGTAGTGGTGGTAGCAATAATTGGTGTTAGTGACTATTAATCACTCCCTCCGTCCATTTTTATTTGTCATGTTTCGCTTTTCAAAAATCAATTTAACTAATTTTTAAAGTTAAATTAGATTACATTAATTCGATATTTTAAAAAAAAAATAGATATTCAAAAACCATACGAAAAGTACTATAAATTGCATTTTTTTGCATATCAATATTATGAAAAAATAAATCGTAAAATGTTGGTCAAAGTTCTTATAATTTGACTCTAAAAAAGGAAATTATGACAATTAAAAGTGGACGAACGGAGTAGTAATAATGGTGGTAATAGTTATAATATGGAGGTTGGTGATATTGCAGTACTGACTGACGTGATATTAGTAGTTGGTAGTAATTGTAATGGTGAAGTTGGTTGATGTTACTAGTGACAATGTTGATGATGATGACCATAAAACATTGCTAATTGTAATGGTGGATATGTGTTTATGTAATAAGAATTGGTTGTAATAGTGATAGTAAATGTGTGAAGATGATGAATAGGTCAAAGAACTATCATTTGAGGTATTTCATATTTATGGTTGAACTCAATATATTTTATGTTTCGCGTATTTTTCTAGCTTGAAACTCACTAGCACGTTCTTTACTATTTATTTGGTTTTGAGACAAACAATTCAATATATATTAAAAAAAATGTTAATTCACTATACAATTGATGGTTCTTTTTGTTATTACCATAAACATCTCTATTTGATCATTTATATAAGCAAATTTCAATTAGTATTATAAAATCGTTATCAAGTTGAAACAAACAATAACAATATATTCAGTAATATTTATAAACATGATTCAGAGAGGATAGAATGTGTATAAATATTACATTTACCTTATTAAATAGAAAGACTATTTTCACAAAACCTGGATTCAAAAAAGCAAAAAATATGTATGAAGATATAAGTTGGTAAAAGATAGAGGACCAAAAAACTTACTACTTAAAATAAAATAGCATGCATGGTTTACATTTTAAAAAAAATTGGCACCACTCCCCCACTACTACGTAAAAACTATAAAATACACCCCTAAAGATTCTCAACCAATCCTTTTCACCACATATATTTTAGTGATAGTGTGAGAAAGAGTTGTCAAATTCTCACAAACTATTCTCCACTTGCTCCCCATTCACCCTTTCTCTCTCTAGAAAAGAAGAACCCTTAGCGTAAACTCTGCGAACCGAAGAACCCCAAAAGGCTTTCAATTCAATGGCTAACAGCAATCTTCCTCGAAGAATTATCAAGGTTTCTTCTTTCTTCATGTTGATCTTCTTCTTTTTCGCTCGATCCATATCGATTTCATACATAAACTTTGTTTTTTTTAATCCATTGATGTTTTTGATCACTTCATTCGGTAGGGTTTATGATCTAACTTCGGTTTAGCTGATAATTTATTATTCTCATCTTACAGGAAACTCAACGTCTTCTCAGCGAACCTGGTAAATTTTCTGGAATTTTTGTTTTGAATTGTTCTTTTCGCATAGCCGTGTGGAATTTTGAGCTTCATTTATGAGTTTTGAATGCTCTGTGATGTCATTTGTATTGTTGATTTCAGTATGTATGAGTTTTTTTTTTATTGAAGTTTACGGTAAGTGTTGATGTATATTAGTTATGGTGGTAGTAAAGGTTTAGGAGGATCTAATGCTGATTTAACTGTGGTGCAGCGCCTGGGATAAGTGCGTCACCGTCTGAAGAAAATATGCGATACTTTAATGTCATGATACTTGGTCCAACACAGTCTCCATATGAAGGTAATGGATGAGCTCAATTATAATATTTGAGTAAGCAGGGAAATATGCTTGCAGTGTTTAGTTGGTTTTGTTGATCGTCATATTGTTTGGTTGGTGCGAATTGACTCCTTTATATTGGCTGGTGTATTGTATTGGCTAAAGTTTGTCTTTGTTGCTAGTTTTTCTTTTGTTCTAGCATTTTACTTGAACATTAATTGGCCCAAATTGTCCCTCTAATTTGTTCTATTCTCATTCTTTATATAGTCTTGGGCACTTATCTACCTTTTCCGTAGCTGCATACTAAATGAACCAATCATGAAAACCGGCTAATTTTCTGGACTAATTAATCCTGCAGAATATGAAGTTAACGTGACTAGTTTATAACACTACTGATGGTGAGATGGGAACTGCATTTGGAAAATTTAAAGTAGTTACATAAACTTACATTTGCAACTCCCGGAGTCCCGGTAATATGAGCCTCACTGTATGCATGTTTGTTATGAATGTCTTAATGTTGTTTGGATCCTCAGGAGCATAGCAGAAAGCTGTCTGCTCTTACTTTAAAATGTCGAATATTGTTGTCTAGTAGAAACTGTTGCTAATAGCTAGCATTCAGCTGCAAGACACCCATCAACTACCTTCTAATGTTTTTGCGATAATGCATGTGCAGCATTCTTTTCTTTTAGCTCTTCTGATTTTCCTTTGTTTTGTTGAATAATGATTTAGGGGATACCGCTAGAGGTGTATTTTGAACAATATATGTTCTGACCGCAGCACACTTTTTCCCCTCGTTTTCTCCTTTTACCTAATCTCCTTACCTTCTTTGTGTAGGAGGTGTCTTCAAGCTCGAACTATTTTTGCCTGAAGAGTACCCAATGGCTGCTCCTAAGGTATGTACACACATTAAGGATTGACAATTTTTCTGGCAATGGATGTTTTAACAAATTCCAGTTGATATTCTGGATTTTTGGTTCTTGAAATGGTATCTCAGAGCTTTAGAATGGATAAAGATTTATTTGTTTTTGACTGATATTTTCTGAAAGCAAATATCAAGATACAGTTTAAAATGTCTTGTAATCGACACGGCTGTTGCAGTTGTTGCATATGTATTTTTCCTTGTTTCGATTTCCCTTTTCTAGCTATGTTTGGCTCTTTTTTATTATTTGTTGATATTGCCATCTCTCTCCTGGTGGAGTGTTATATCTCAATTTGAATATGCCTTTTCACTGGAAGTTATAGTTTGATGTCTATGCCTTTATGTCTGGCAATATGTTGCGACATTTTAACTTCCTGATGTATCATTCTGGATTTGAAACTTCTCAGATGTTAAAACTTTGCTGCTTTCTTTTACACTGTTAGTATCTGTTATTTTATTTTTTTTGGTCAACTAGTAACATTTTCATTCAACCAAAATTATCCATACAAATCAGCAAGCTCTTTTTGGACTTAGGAGCTAGCTCTCACAGAACCTTGCTATACAATTTAGTTAATTCAGGTAGTAACCTATCAACTATGTAAAAGAAAACATTTAACTAGGATATCCTATTAGCTGCTCCAGATGAGGCTTTAACTGTGGTGTCTTTGGCCTTCAATATGCACCTGTATGGCAATCTCCTTTAGTCTCTGTGCTGTGCTCGCCCTTATGGGAGTAAATCTTCTTTTGTTTCTTTCAGTCCAGATGTTGTAAATGGTTTCTGCAAAACAGAATCCCAAAATTCCAGCTCTTGGTCTACTATTCTTGATCCTATCTATCATTCATTTGACTTCCCAGTCCCAGCTGCCTAGTTTCTGTTATAACCTAACCAGTTCAGTATTGCTGTCCATATATAAGAAGAAAAAGGACAGGTCTAATAGAACAGGCGATCAAAATTCTCCATTTCAGCACTCTGTCCACAGTTGATAGTTTCCTCTGTAATGCCATCCACAAAATGAATTGATGCCTTGGCAGCAGACCTTTGAC